CGTGCTTTTGGCGCCAAAGGGCTTGCACTCTGCCTTCTAGAGGCTTCTGGCAAATTTGAATATGAGACGCACGCGATATCCTTACACCGTACGATTGGAGCAGCTCTGCTCGAGGCGTGATGTAAGTCACGACAATATACGTGCAGACAGGAGCACAAACCTAGGAAAGCAGAGACACTGCGAATTAATTCAACTAGGATTATAGTTCCCTTGTGTTGCTTTAAAATTCTATAAATAACCATTCCGTATGGATTTACTCTTTTCTCCTAAGACCAACATTCCCTGCGCCGTTCTGTAGCCAAGCACCACTTAGCTGATGGAAGCCTATATTCAGTGGTGGATACCTAGAATAGTAGCTAGTAGTGTGATCTACACATGATTCTGCTATAAACCGTTAAGAGTGTCTAGTGGTGTGTACGTGTGTGTATTTCTGGCTTTGTGCCTAATGATAGCTCCTGTCTTTCTCGACATAGAGTGTTCAAATTTCGAAGGGATACAGGTGACAGGATATGAACTTGATGTTAGTTGAATTTGATGGGGAATGATGAGTGAAGACAAAAGCTAGAGAATCTTGAAGTTTTGGCAATCTGAAAGGTGGTGTGTGATAAGAAGGGCCGTAGATGGTTGGCGACCGGGTATGATACCAAAAGCTAGGGACTGATAACAAGCCAAAGGAGGCGATAACCACCAGATCCAGAACTCCCTTCGTTATTAGGGTGGAATAATGCTACTTTGAAAGGTGGCGTAGAATGTGATGGAATCGATACTAGGTACTCTGCAGCGGAAACTAGTAATAAATGATAATGGCTACTATAGGAGTTTCAGCACAAGTTATTTTAAGCAACCAACCGGATCGCCCAGCTAACGCCGGGCTCTCCTCCTTCTTATGTACTGCCCGGCATCCTCCTTCTCATGTTATTGGGACAAGGATTGGTACAAGCAATCGGGGATTTCCTTTCGATGAATATAAAATGGAACTGTTTCATTCTAATAATGACTTCCTCGGATAGTGCTTGGTCAGGAGATGATACAGAAAGTCGGCTTAGGAAGCATACCTATCTAGGGCTTCCGGTCTAATCATAACCCCACTGGTTTTATGAGGACGCTAATATACTCGGATACCACCTTCTTCAGAATGAATGGAAAGCAATTCCAGAGAGCACTGTCCGATCTGAAAAAAGTGAAGCTTGCTGTTTCGGATAGTGCTCGGTTAGGGAATGCTCCATGCCATCAGCGGTTGCCCAAAAGATAACATTGTCATCTCCATCTGGTTAACCCCATCTACTCCAGGGATTCGGCCAACCTGTCTCTGATACCTCCAACCACTTCTTTTCCGCTTTCTAGGACGTTTTGAATAGACTCATAAATATTTGATTTTGGCCTCACCACCCCCCTCCCCTTTAGGGCAAACCCCCTTAGTTTAGGGTTTTGGCTGCATTCCTTCCACAGCCTCTAACCACTAATTTTCCACATTATAGTACGTTTTTGAATAGATTCATGAGCTTTCTCACAAAGAACCTAACACCTCAACGCATGCCCCCCCCTATGGTAGCTTTGCTATGCACGCATGCCTAACACCGTAAGGCCCTGCTCACTCCTTTTATCATTTTTTCTAGCTTCCACGCCCTCT